GACAACTATTTCCGTATTTGCAGTTACATACATTGAAATTTTAAATTAAATATATTATCTAAAATTGTTTTAAAACTACTGAAAATGTGGAATCCAAAGTTGAATTTCTGAAAATCGAAATAAGGTGGGGAAACAGTTAAAAAGATCCCAAATTTTTAATAATTTCTGTCCAAATACTTCGATGAAATTCAGAAGATCTTCTCTAAAATTTTTCTCTCTACAAACTAGGTAAATTGTATAGCAATCATTTTCTTTCTTCTAAAGTAGAAAAGTTGTATGTGCATGGGCAGGGGGTGGGGGAGTGAAGTATGCTAAAATCTTTCTTTGTTTTTTGGTTCAAGGCTGAATTTAAGATTTATAATCTCGAATTTAAGGACCAATGCCCATTTTGTGCAGGCTAAGTTATACCTATGACTTTGTTTTTGATTTATTGATAAAACGCTGGGAGTTATTTCACTATAGAATATGTTTCTCAAAGCAGATTTCAAGTAGATTATAAATACTAACTTCATAAAAACTAAAGCTGTTGGCTGAAAAAATATCATTTCAGTTTGAGGTTTTGGATTGCAGATTTCAATACTTGAAAAACTACAGAACATTTTAAAATATGTGTTTGTGTCACAATATCCCAGTATTGAGAGTCTTGGGAGTTTGAGCATTGAGAAATAAGCAGAGTTTTGCTATCACTTTTGATAAAAACTACTCAAGTTATAGCGCTTCGAAAACCTGAAAAAATGACGGCCATTTTCCCAGGTCTGAAATAATAATTCAAATTTTAGAAAATTGAGTGAAGGGTAGCCTAATTGTTCAAAAGCAAATCTAAATCAAAAGTTATTAAAATATACCTTTGTGACGGTTCAATGAAGAGGTTAAAAGTGTTCACAAAAAACGCAAACGGGTTGTTTTCCTTGAATTTTTACATGGCAAAATTAAAAGCACTGAGCGAGTGTTTGCGATAAAAAGGATAGAATTCAAACTACACCTATTTTTTTATATGCAACCGATTGCCAGGCTGAGGCTCTGTGCTTAGCTGAACGTTGGAATTTGAGGCTCAAAATTGTTTGGAAGTTGCTTAATTCTGAAAACAATGCTTGGGCGGACAAAGGTGAAAGCTCTATATGAGAATGATTGGCATGTTGGAAAAATCATTTATTTCAATATTTCTTTGAAAGAGTACAAAAGATTTTCCCAGCGGCAGTTGTGATTATATTTCAACCGATGAAATCGGAAACTTTTCTTTGAATAAGAAACTTTTTTTCTTTGAATAAACTTTTTTGTGTACCTTTTTTTCCATGCCTCGCCAGTTGCTTAAAAATTGCTTAACTTTTAGAACGTTTTGAGCCTCAGTTGCTTGTACGCGGTTGCTTATTAAAAAATTGGGTGCACCCTAAGTGAAAATCATTTCAAAGTATACCTTTAAAGATATAAGAATACAACACTAAACAAAAATTAAAGAATCTTGTTGATATAATAGATTTTAAATGAATAAATTTGTATACTAAAAGACAAAGTTTTTTAAAAAGTCATCCCATCAAATGATTTTTATTGAAACAAAAGAAGGCCAAAACTGAAAATTCCAGAACTTTGAGTCAAATTTTTTTTGCTTTAAAGACTTTATTTTTCTTGTGTCAAGCAATTCAAACCTCTCAACAAAAAAAAATCCCAACTGTGCGACTCTGCGAGTAGCACGTTGTATGCACTGCACTCAATTAGCAAAGAACGTTCTAATTTAAGAAACTAAATTTTTAACCTATTTTGGGCAGTGGCTTATGGAGCAGCTTGTCATTCCGAGAAATACGAGTTTAAATACCAGTTTATATTAAAAAAAAACATATATTTGTTCTTGTTATAACTTTTTGGTTGATGAATGAGACGCAAATCAAAGCTTCGAAAACCTGTTCCTAACAGATTAATTTGAATAGAGAATGGTTTTACAGTTTTATGTGGAAGAGATTTTTTTCATTTTTCAAAAATCAATGGTCAAATCAATCAATCCACTTTTAAATGGAATTGCTTTGATATATCAGTCAACTTAATACTTTTTAAAAGTTTTTTTTTGCGTCAGTAATATGCGCGGAAAAAAACAGAAGTTTTTTTTGTTTCATTTTATCCAAATAAAGATTGCTACAGATTATTTTGACGTTCAGATAGTTTCAATATAAATTATTTGTGATGAAAAGCAAAGATTTTCAGAGAAGTATTGAGCCTGAATCAGGTTTACGGCCTAATCTAAACTAAGATAAGTTGCCTGGTGTGAAACATGGCCTGGTATATGATGCCGTTTATTTGAAATTGGTTGAATTGTCGCTCTCGACAAAATGTCGCTTTCGACTAGTTGTTGCCTCATGAGCAGGGAAGGGGAGGGGGAATGCGATTGACTTAGAATGTAAAGTTCAACACAATTAACTTAACTTTAAGTTTTCTATTAAACTTCATCAGTTGTACACTTTGTTGCTCCCCCCACGATTTTTCATGAAATAGTAAGAAAAAAATATAAAATCATACCGGTTTCTCTCGACATTGAGAGAAGGTTTGGAATTGATTCTTACCGTTTGAATATGGGATTAAACTTGACGCCCTATCAGTTTTGCTTAAGTTAGCGCTAAAAGTAGAATCTAACAGAAACCCACCTATGCCATAGTTCTTACCACTACGCCAAGTGATCGGAACAAAAAGTTTAACATCCGGTTGCAAGACTCTTGCTGATCAAAATTATAGTTAAATTCACTGGATGATTTTCCCTTAACCTGATCCTGTAGAATTAGCAAGTTTCTTAGTTTTAGAAAATTATTCTTTTATATTGTTCTTTTAATAGCATCTTTTTATGCTTATATACTTTGGAATTACTTTCGCAGATCCAAAATGGCATGCCAGTTTTTGTAACAAGAGGACATAAAGTTTACGAAAATTACAATCAAAAATTCGCAGATGAAGAAAAAAAAAGTTCATTCAACATTTCTAAAAAATCAATTGGTTGTTTTAAAACTTTTAGCAGCTCAAATCACAACTTGAGAGACTTCAATATGTTAATGCTTTTGATTAGCTTGGTCTGGAAGTAATGAATACCACTGGGACGGCAAAGGCCGGGAGTTCGAATATGACCAGGATCCTTTTTGTCCGCTTTGTTTGATATACCTCACCGCACGCACCTATCTAGGTTTTTTTTCCGAGTGGGGGGGGGGGGCAATTTTTCAGGAAAACAGTAGCAAGACTTGAGTTCAAAAATCAACAAAATTTAAACAAATTTTTAAAAGATTGAGTCTGCGATTTTTGCGGCAAATCTGTCTATGACATCATGAACCTTAATTTCTACGTCTTTGTGGATAATTAATAAAGCTAAACTCGATGGTATCTTCCTTCATAATAGGTCGAAGGTAGTTGTTCAGCAGTTTCATACTGGAGAAAGAGCGTTTGGCTGTGCAAAATGTTACAAAAAGGTTTACTCTAATTTGGAGTAGGGCGTGCAAGACTGGCATTGTCGACTTATTACAGAATTTTAGGGCATCAGTGAAAACTTCTGGTATTCTGCTGTAAGGGGGCGCGCCACATATTCCTCCAGACTTGGAACTCGCTCTCAAAGTCGCCATCCGGCAGTACGCTGATACAGGTCGACCATGACATCAAAATCTTCCTCAGTTGCATCTCTGTCCAACATCCAGCGAGGAAGGAGGTTGCACACTTTGACACAAGACGCGGCAGCTGCTAAGAACTTTTCCTGCAAAACCAAGAGTACGAAGTCGATGAAAGGCAGGTAGACAGTCTGATGGAAATGATCGTAGGCTGATGTAGCTGTAGGAGGCCTGCCTTTCCTACCCTCTAGTTGGACATCACCAATTTTGACAGCGTCAGCATGGATGGATCCTTTGATAGCAACGACCTTCATCGTCCCTTCATTGCTGGGAGCGAAGATGCAATTTCTATATGTGTTCAACAGCTTGGGGAAGTTCCAGGGCTGGGCCTTGGAGAGTAACAATGGTGGTTTTTGTAGCAGCTACTACATACTTTTTGCTCATCAGTGTAATTATAAACTCTGATCGTATTATTCAAGCAAGGTATGCACTGCAGTCAGAAGCACAACTTTCACCAGGCCAGTTGCAGTTGTCTTCAGGTGTCGCTTTAACGGCTGGCAGAAGCTGGAGGAACGTCAAAACAGCAAAGCAGAAACAGTAGCCACGAAAGAGGCCTTCTTGAATCCTTGAGAAGACCACAAGAGTGTACTTCACGAGATGTTCAGGTCCAAGTGATCTCTCATCTATCTGTCTTCCCTTGCTTTGTGACAACTTCAAATGGCCAGTTTTGCAGTGTGGGTCTGTTTAGGCTGCCCATAAAGCGAACTTGACATCACGTTCAATCTTCGTGAATTAACGTTGTAGTTTCCTAAGTCTATGTAAGCTGGAGACTGCAGGGCTTGCTCAGATAGCAGAGATATAGAATAAGTCGATGAAAGAACTTCATATTTTATGGTTGCTAAAGGTGCCAGTGGCTCTAATATCCTTGAGTGTATAGGTATGGGAGTGTCAGGAGTTGATGGTCCGTAGTAGCACTGGATGAGGGTGTTGACCTCTTGGGTCCACTGGTGAAGAAAGCCTTGAGCCTCTTGAAGCCAGATGGTAGTTTTGATTGGGGTGTATATACTATGCATGAGGCAAGTTGACAGAGACTTGTTAGCAGGTACCTGCCTCGAATCTAAAATGAATCTGATTTGAGGCCTCAAAATTGGACTCGTTTTCACACCTAAAAATTTTCACACCTCTACTACAAACGGACGGGCGCCAAAGGCGCCCTTTGAAAAAAAATCAAAAGGGTGACCCTTGGGGTAGCGTCGGTGTCAAGTTCCTGAGAAAAGGAGCGTCCGCACCCCCGCCCCCTAAATCTGCTAGTGCTACACCCGAAAAAAAAACATCGACTGCATCTCACTTTTAAGGCGGTCGAAAAGAAAATCCTGTTGAATTATCTCTCTCTGATTAATTTTGAGGCAAAGCAAATAAACCACAGTGAAAAATTTTCTCTACTAATTTTATTATAACGTGAAGCAATTTGTCGCAACATCCAAAACGAAAATATGATTTGTGGAAGACAAAATGAAGAAGCTCGAACTAATTTGTGTACACTAAAAGCTAACGCTACAAGAATTGGTAATCATCATTTAAAAACGTTGAATATTAAATGATAAGATTTTTAGTTATTCTTCATTCCAATCAATGCCTTCCAAACTGGCCATGAACTCGCGATAGTCTTCAAAACTGACAATTCCATCGCCATCTAAGTCGGCCATCTTAACCATGTCTTCTGCGTCTAAGTCTGTGATTTGCTCTCCTAGCGTGCGCAGTGTCTTCTAGAATATAATGCAAGTTTTCTAAAAGACTGCTCAAATGTTATTTAAAGAATATTCTTTCGCAATTTTGATTGATTATGCTCAGTTCGGCGGAGTCCTTTAGGATCGATGGGGCAGTACAAGAGCGACGAAGTACTACCACAGCGACAAAAAAAAATAGATCAACTGAAAATGAAAAAAAGATCAGTGCTGAAAATGAAATCTTTGTTCTACAGAGCCAATTTGATTTTTGCTTAGCTGTGCTAAAAAACGACCTAAAAACATTTTAGAAAGCCTGAATTATGGTTTTTAACAGATAATGCACAAATTTTTTTTTTAGTTTTCATTTATATTTATATTTTTTCAACACAAATTTTAACATTTTTTTTCTCGCTTTCATTTTTCGGATCAAAACTCAAAAACTTAGATGGATTCGTAGATAAAAACTAGATTCTGTTAAACTGTTAAAATTCATTTGCTGCAAATTGTTCGATTTTGTGCAAAAGTTTTTTTAGCGTATACAGGGGCGTGCGCAGAAATTTCTAGGAGGGGGGGTTTCCGATTTTCGAAAATTTTTTTTAAGAAACAGGCCAAAAAAGGCGTTCTTTGGACAAATTTGGCAACCACAATTAACGGAAGGCGGTCGCCCCGTAACGTTACTCAGCGTATAGGTAATTTGATTCTAATGGATTTAAAACTTTCCATCGTTCGGTTCCTCCATCATCAGAATAGCTCAGGTCAATTGATTTCTGTAATTTCTTTTTTGGTATTTTTTTTGATAGATATAGATTAATTCTCGAAAGTCGTTTCGACCGTAGACATCTCTTGGATATGTGAATTGGGAACAAAAAACGCTAACTTTAATGAGTAGTATAATAAAAAGAACCTTCTCACCTTAACATCATCAGGTTCTAAGAAACTGCTTTCATTCTGGTCGAAACTCTCAAAAGCCATCTAAAAATTGAAGAAATGACGTGTTCAAGTTTTACTTTCGAATCAGCTCGGTATAATCTGCAATTCTTTTAAAACCTGTGTAATCTAATCTTCTAAATTTGCTGGTCCGAACAATAAACAGATTCAGTTTTTGGGGACATTTTTGAGGATTTTGACTATTAAAAAAACGCTTTTTTTTGGTGCGGGCTCCCACTCAAAAGCACTTTAGGGTCGGTCGAGCGAAAAGGTTATCGTAAAATGTACCAAAGGGTGACCCTTTGGGTGGTAAGGGGGTCGAATACTCCCCCTTCAAAAAAAAACAAAGAAATAAAATGACTTCTAATTTTTACTTTTTCATTTGTTCTGGTTAGTATGGTAACTGTTTTCATACTTTTTTCATTTGTTCTGGTTAGTATGGTATTTGTTTTCGGAGTTTTTTAAGCTACTTGCTCATCAACTTGCAATTGTTGGTACTTTTTGATTCTTTTTTAATTCTTTTCTATTCCGACCATGTCAATGGTTTTATGTAAAATCAGAACTTTAAAAAGTCTTGCGCGTGCTATCATATGCAAAACCATTAGTTGTGATGAAAAAAGTTGTTCCAGTGTCAAGAAAAATTGTTTGAAGTTTTTAGTTTTTTAGACTCATTTACACTGCAGACAATGCTACGCACTATGTTCATAATCTGATTAACAGTTCTTTTCAGAGGTTTTTACTGGCTAATATCCATCCTTTCGCAGCTTATTAACAATTGGACTTTGGAAAAAAAAATTGCAAGTATTTCTGTGGTCGGAAAAGATTGGGTTACTTGCATATAGCGAACCGTTACCATTGGTTTTTCTCTTGTCATATTTCAGCAAAATTTTGCATGTTTTTTCATTGGAATGTAGGTTGGAGCGCGCAACTGAAGCTTGCGGGCTTAAGATGTGGGAGCTTGTGGGAAAGACATTTGACAGTCTTTTCATTTTTGGTCAAAATTTTCTGACTTAAATTTAATTGGTAAAGAAATCACAAACCATTCAGCCTTTTTTATCAAAATAAACGTGTTTCAACGCTCGATACCTCTAGATCATCATTGCAGTTTGGAGCTTCCGTGATCTTGTTCTTTGCAATGGGTACAAATGTGTCAAAATCAATCAACCCCTGTTTGTCCCCCTTTCTCTTCAAGTCACGAACAATCATTATCAAGTTGCTCCCGTCTATCTTCTAAAAAAAGTTGCCTTTCTCCGTTGTGGTAAAATGAAGTGTAATTTTACTCTTAATTGAAAATGATAGGTTTCAATACTTTAATTCAAATTGAAACTGTGTTTTGTTTTAACTTCATCTGCGGTTCTGTGAACCAGCTTTTTAAACGTAACTCGGTACATAAAGCTTAACAACTAAAAATGCAGAATCTACGCAGCGATCAACACTGCATGACCTTGGCCAATACATAATAACAATATTTAATTATAGATACCAATAAGCAATCCAAGGTTAGTGTGCAGCAGAGGTTACTTGGTTACTGCACATGCAGTATGTGCTGTACCACACTCCCCTAGGACTAACAAAATTTTAAATAGTATACATATAAAATTTAGATAGTTATGAGTTTTGGTACTCAGTTTAATTGGGTTAAACAGTTATGAGTTTATATGATTCTTTCTAATTTTCCTTTTCTCGACTCTGATTGACTGTCTTGCTTTCCTCCACGTATAATGGTACTTGCCATTCCGCGTTCCACGTCTTTGAGATATTTAGTGCCTCACTTCCGATTTTCCGCCGAAATAAATGCTTTTCCAATAGTCCCAACTTTGTCTCAATCGGCCTACTGACATCTGGTTTTAGTGTTGCTAATCTGACTCTGTATGCCTCTAGCGCCGCTTTGTTAAGATCGGTAACGTCTTGATCGGTCGTAATTAACTTAATGGAGTGTGTCACTGGGTTTCCGAAACGGATTGGGCCCTTGTTGTTCGTTTGCCTTCCGCTCCGTCTAATTGGTACTTCAGTATCGCCTGATTCATCTGAAAAACCTGTAAGTGCGTTGCTTCTTTCATCCTCGCTTCCATCCGCATTCTTCAGGATTGCTTCTGCCTCTCTCTGGACTCCCCTTGTTAAAACCTGGTCCACCAGCAGATTCCAATCTTCGGTAACTAGGTCCCGGCTTTGAAAAGTCTCGAATATCTTCTCTGCCGAGGTATTCCGAGTGACCTCTTTACTCTTGTCTTTCAACTCTTTTCTTGGAGTTGATGTGTTGAGGTTCCGGTCTTTTTCAGGAGAAGACATGTCATTTGAATCAGCCTCCTCCATCTGAGAATTTTGTCGTGCTGTTGTTGCAGCTTTTTGTTTCCCAGTCTCTTGACCTATAGGCTTTTCCTCTTTCTTTCCAGCACCTTTCGATTCCACACTCTCTTTATTTCCCGACACTGGACCGGCATTGTTGGGTTTAGCCCTCCTTACAGCCCGATTAAGGCCCCCTTTCACCTCTAATTCTTTTGACGTTACATTCTGCTGACTATTCTGGTAAAGCTCCACTGTATTGTATAAGTTCGAACGTTGTTGTATCTCCGGCATTTCGTCAGAATCATTAGTCTTTTTCCTTGAGCCCCCTTCCTTTTTCTTCGACTTTGATCTAGGCACATCTCTACATGTGGACTTCGTCTGGAGTGTTCTTTGTTCGGGCTTTCATCTCTCGTGTCGTTAGTATCAGTTTTCGCTTTGGCAATGTCGCTTTTTCTATATACTGCTCCTGCAGCTGTTTTGACTGTGTGTGGGGTTTCTGAAACAATTTTCCCTTTTAATGGATTAATCAACCCTTTTCCACTTTTCCGATTTACATCTTTTCTCAGGAGATTATCATTTGGCTTTATCTCCTCAGGTTTATCTTCAATAAACCCGTATTCCCACGAATACAATAACTCTTTCCGTAACTCTGGGTTAATCGTACTCGTTTCGTCTACTATTCTCCTAATGTCATTTGCCGATGTATCTCTTCTTGTCGTGTTCCAACGGGCATTCGCCTCCAAAAGTGTCCTTTGAGCTTTTGCCTGGTCTCTATTTTTAGCCGATTCTACCTCAACTTTGAACTTCGGACTGATGTCTCTGCTGTCCTGGCCTTTTTTCACAATTTTCACATGTTCACGCGACTGATCGATCCTCCGTTTTAACTGCGAAGCTGTGAGTGCTGAGCGTTTCAGATGTTCCTTATCTAAACGATCAGATTTTTTAATGAATTTATCCCTTAGTATCTTGAGTTCCGTTTTTGGAAGGCGTCTAAAGTGTGCCTCGAATGGCGAACATTTAATCGTTTTCTGTTTACTCCATCTAAGTTCTCTAATTATCGTGTTAAGAACAAGTTTTATTGATGTGATCCAATAACATGACTCCTAGTCTTCGTTTTATTGTTTGAGTAGTTCGCTCAACGAGCCCGCATCCCCGGTGGTCCCCTACTGGACAGAATTTTTGTTCGATATTATTTTCAGAACAGAACCTTTTCATTGTTTTTCTTTTAAATCCTGAGAATTGATCAGTTCTTATTGATTCCGGAATTCCGTGTGTATCAATATAAGTACGCAGAAACTTTACTGATGATTTTCCCCCGGTCGATTTTATAATTTTTACTGATGGAAATTTTGAGTATCTATCTATGGCTGAAAGCAAGTAAATTTTCTTCCCCTTCTTATCTTCTAAAGGACCGGCATAATCTAATTGCAGCTCTTGCCCCGGCTGCGTGAGCAGTGGGAGAGGTTTTGACTCATTTTTTGGTATAATATATTTAACATTCTTACCATAGCGAGTACAACTACGACATTCTTCTGCCAAATTCACAATGTCGTTTTGCATGTGTGGCCACCACAGGTACTTTGACACATCTAACATCGCTTCTTGTCCTGGGTGGCCTCGATGAATTCGCTTAAGTACTGCAGGGCGTAGTTGTCCCGGAACGGCAAGTCTCCCGTCCACTACTATGCAGTCGTCTACCACTGCCATCTGATGCCAGAGTGAATTTGTGTAAGGTCCCATCAGTTCAAATCTTTCCGTTCTATCACTCTCCTAAGACGATCCATCCACGTGTCCTCCGTGGTTAACTCAGCCAAAAAATTTCGGTTGAACAGCTTCGATAAGTTGTTCAGATTATTGTCCTCTACTTCTTCTGCTAGTCGGAATTCTTCCTTCCTAGACTTGCGAACACTTTTACTCTTCTGCCCCCCAACTAGACTGACCTCCGGGCTGGAGATGGAGCTGTCTGCCGTAAGGTCTACCTCGATAATCTTTCGATTGATTCCTCCTGAGCTGTCCTCCTGTGGGCTGAGCATATTGGTTGATGCTTCCAATTCCAGCAAGCTTCCCGGGATTACTCGATCATCCCGCTCGGATCCTACTAGATCCCAAAACGAAATCAGTATTGGTGGCTCTGCTTGCTTAGTCTCTAAATGTGTCGGTGTTGACTTCGATTGACCCGAATCCCTTCTCCGATTAATCATGTCCATCCTTCTTCATTCGACCTGTGGCGTATCCTCATCCGAACTGTCGGAATCTTGTCCTCTATGCACTGTCATTGTTCTCCTGTATGTTGTTTCCGTCACTTGTTCTAACAACTGGTCTCTACTTCTATCCCGTTCCACTATTTTAATTGTCTTTTTTGGTTTCTCCTCCATTCTGCTGCTCGTTTCTAGATATACTTGTTTACTGATTTTGTCGACCGACTGTTTGCAATGAGAAATTTTACATAAACTGTTCTGCTCAAACTTTGAAAGACTTGAATTTGGACCGTTTTCGTTCCGGTCGAGCCGTGTTCTATAGCAACTATGGGATGACTTATCTTTCAATTCGTTTAATGTGTCTCTCAATCCAGAATGTTCTAGAATATTGTCATTCTGTTTTTTTTGCTGTATCCTTTAACTGACTGCTTAAGCAGTCGAGTGCTTTATTAAAACATTCAATCGATGCCACAACGAATTTCTTATCTAAATAAGACTCTGGCCACGGCTCCCCGTTAGGTTCTCTTGACATATAATCCACAATTCCCATGTCTTTACCTGGTATATGTACTACCTTAAATTGGTATGGTAATAACCTATCCACCGACCTAGTAAGTCGGGATTGGTACGTTTTGTTAGACTTGTATTCACCTAAGGCTGATGTAAGAGCCTTATGGTCTGTAGCCAGAATGATTTCTTTCTCCAGTAGATAGTGTTTGAATCTATCTACCGACCAAACTACTGCGGGCAGTTTTAATTCGTTTGTAGAATACTTATTTTTTTGAACGTTTAGATAACGTGATGCGACCGCAATAGGTACCCATTCATTATCTTCCGTTTTTTGTTCTAACGTTGCTCCGAAACCGCTATGGCTGGCATCACATTTTACCCGAGTATCCTTTTTAGGATCATAGTAATGGATTTATGCTATTCAAGCCACCGCTGTTTTTATCTCTTCAAAAATCTTTGAGTGTTCCTCCCCCCGCTCGAGTTTTTTACAGGTAATTTTACATTCTTCATCTTCTTTTTCTCATTTTCTTCCCATAACAATGGTCTAAGTTTGTCAGTTAAACTCGCAGCATTAGGGATAAATTTAGAAAGATGAATAATACTACCCATAAATGATCTTGATTGTTTTAAAATTTTCGGGTGTTGCAATTTTAGATTTGCCTCTGTTTTAGTGATTTTCGGTGTTATGCCCTCTGACGTAAGCTTGTGACCTAGCCAGTTCACCTCTGATTGAAAAAATGCACATGTTTCCAATTTTAACGCTAGGTTCTCATTGTCCAATTTCTTCAAAACCTCTGTTACTAACTGTTCATGTTCATGTTCATCTCCTTTCGATACGATTAAAATGTCATCCAGGAAACAGAAGGTATTTTTTGCATGATTCAATGTACGATCCATTGCTTTTTGAAATTCTGCAGGCATGTCTGCTAATCCATAGAACCCGGTTAAAAACCTATATGTTCCTGTAGCCTGTCCATCCACTATGTTAAAATTACACTGTTTCTGTATTCTGTTTCTGGGTTAGCTGCTGTTTCTGCATTCAGTTTAATCTGACTATAGGCATATTTCAAATCCAAGACAGTGAAATACAGCATGCCGACTGTATTAGCAGTTACTATCTGACTGACTCCATCCAGTAATTCATCCACATTCGGCATCTGATATTTGTTTTTATACAGTTGCCTATTGATGGGTTTTGCATCTAGCGCTAACTTAATAGAATCATCTTTTTTCACAGTAATAACTATCGGAACAATGAAACAGTCACTCGTGCATGTGTCCAATTTTGTTATATGACCCTCCGATATCAGTTTCGATAATTCAGCTTGCACTTTGTCTTGTACATGAATAGGGATCCTCATACCTTTTTCCTGAATGGGACATAGCGGGTATTTGAATTTTGTGTCCACTACATGGTTTTTCCATTCCCCTTTTTGGTCAAACAGGGACAGGAATTTTTTGTAAAACTGAGTTTTCCTACCTTCCGGCTGCTCACACAGTAGCACGTCAAACCTGGATTTTTGTGATGGTGCAGACTCCTGTGTTGTTTGTATTCCCAGTTTGCCTTGCAGGTCTAATCCTAGAATACATCTTGCTCGCCGTTCTGTAACCAAGAACGTTGCGTCTGTCACTTCTTACCCTGCTGACCTAATACTAGTACATAATGCACCCAGTATTTGAATTGGTGGTTTGTTATAATCAACAAATTGCGTCGACAGATTCAATTTTCCAGGTGGAATGAATTTATCTTTGTAGCACCCTCCATCAGTTGTTTGGCCGTTGTCCAATTCAGAAAAGATACTGGACTTCCTGTGTCAATTGTCATCTTAATAATATGTGTATCGATTCTTAGCAACGCTTTCAAAGCTTTTATTTTGTGTGATCTTGGATCCCTTGTAATGTCGATTTTTCGAACATCTTTTGTATCCAATTTCATCTCTTCACTTTTGATATCTGATATCAATTTGTCAAATTTTCCATCTGAAACCTGTAATTTTGGTTCCACCACCATGATTTCAAATTGTTCACAGGAATTAAAACTACGAATTAAGTTGCATTCTTCTTCTGAACTAGAGTTTTCTTCCGCAAATTCATTCACCTGGTTCGATCTACACATTTTTTTGAATTGGTTAGGCTTATTACAACTTTTACATGATTTTCACATTGCTGGACAAATTTTCAAATGTCCTTCACCAAAAGTTCTACCACATCTAGTACATGGTTTTTTTTTCAGTTCTGTTTTTTTCTTTGCTATCGTTCCTTTTCTTCGATCGTTTGTAATTCTGATTTTTGCTCCCAACTGCCATAATTGGTTCCTGTTTTATTTTCGTCTGCGGCTCAAAGAGTTTTCGTCCCCTTGAACTTCCTACCACCGATTTTTGAAACGCTTGTGTCGTTTGTTTGCTTTGTTCGAATTTAATGGCCTGTTTTAACACTTCATCCGGTGTGAAAGTTTCAAAAGTCAATGTGTCTTGCAATGCAGTATTCTTCATTCGTGATATAAATAGATCTCTCACCAATTCTTCCTCTAAACCACCCAATTAAAGCCGCATGAAAAAACTCCAACGTCTCTCCAGATTCTTTTGTATTGGTGAATAACCTATATCTCTCGTACGTAATGTTTTTTGTCGTTTCGAATGATACTTTAGCTAATCTCACCATCTCTCTGAACTCAATCTTTGAGATTTCGATGTGTGGATTTTTCTGTACAATTTTTTTCTTTCCTTCTGTGCCTAATGCCAAAAATAGACGAGACGTAAGTCGCTTTTGAAATTCGTCATAGAACACATTATGTCCTACTTTCGGACCTCGTTCTCTTCTCTCTTCAATTTCGAGTATTACTCTGTCTCTTCGTAATCGAGGCATTGGCTCATCAATTACTTCTTTTGGTTCTTCTAATAATATATCAGGATTCACACTTTCTTTGAAAGTCACTGCTAACATGAATTGATCCAACCAATTTTTTAAATTCCACGGTGGATCCGAGCTAGCGGACGTCCAGAACACTGGGATACCCATGTCTGTTCTGTTATCCTGTGCCATGAATCCTGCTGGTTGCGCCATGTGGTAAAGTGAAGTGTAACTTTACTCTTGTTTGAAAATGATAGGTTTCAATACTTTAGTTCAATTGAAACTGTGTTTTGTTTTAACTTCATCTGCGGTTCTGTGAACCAGCTTTTTACACGTAACTCGGTACATAAAGCTTAACAACTAAAAATGCAGAATCTACGCAGCGATCAACACTGCATGACCTTGGCCAATACATAATAACAATATATAATTAAAGATACCAATAAGCAATCCAAGGTTAGTGTGCAGCAGAGGTTACTTGGTTACTGCACATGCAGTATGTGCTGTACCACATCCGTCATAGTTTTTAGACTACATTCTTTTTTCTTGGAAAAACTGGAACGTCGGATTTTAGTTAGTGCGCTGAAATGGCTGCTTCACATCCCTTGTTTAAATGTTCAACCGTCGTTTAATGTCAAATTGCTTAAACATAGTTGCAAAAGTTTTAAAAAAAACTATTAATTTTTGATCAATCTATTTCACTATCAATTAAACGAGAAAAATACTTTTTTGTTGAATCTATAGCTTTAAAAATACACCAGAAAACGGCACAAATTCTAGAGCAATGCAACTTAAAACGTCCCAATCTCTCCAGTTGGTTTCTAAATGATCTAATGAAAATCTTAGCTCGGATTATCATAACGGTGCTGATAGGAAAAATTGATAATTTCTGAGGCAATTATCATAAAATCGGACGTAATAATAAAAGAAACAATACAAGACGTGACCCGTGTCGAAGTGCTCAAGTATGTTTCGACCGTGCTCCGCCGTGCTGGAGTTATATGTTTCGACCGTGCTCGAGGTATGTATTGATGTTCTTTTGAAGTTTTTGTCCAAATCATAAAAAAACGGAGAAGACTCGATCCTTATTTCTTTTGAAAATTTTGTCCAACACGATAAAAACTGAGAAGGCTATTTGTTCTTATTTAAGGTATGAGGCAAAAAATCAAAAGAAAAAAGGATATCCAATCAGGAGCAGGAAAGACTTCTTATATACTAACAAAAACTCTGAAATCATTTCTTAATAGTTTTTCAGCGTGCGCTCCCCCTTAAAATTAGTATACATTGGCGCCAAACAAAGGCAGAACAAAATGAGGCCTTTGGTCGGCAGGTGATCGATTTCCTGAGCAGTGAGTCCAATCCCCCCACCCCTATATTTGCCCCTGCAAATCAATATTTGAACTGAATTTGCCTATATGAATTAAAAAAGTTTTTTCTAAAAACAATTGAAATGTTTTGATAAGAGTATAAACTGTGGTCGAACAATTTAATCGTCATTTGTTGTTAATGAAGGTTTGAAGAATGAATTAATTCTCACATCTAGCAGGGATATATAAAGAGAGCCAATTGGGACTCTCCCACACTTGTTTTTGTCTGCAGAACGGAAGATGTCGTAGAGCTGCACTATTTGCTCGACTGATGTTTCCTCATCCGTGTAATGGTGAGGGTTGAAATGAATTGTCGGGGTCCTACTCATTTTGGGATAACTTTTATGACATGGTAAATTTTTTCATAACATAATTGAGGTTGACAAAAAAAATCTGATCATATGACAGAAGTGCTGTCCAAACTAGCTTATAAAAATTGCCAAAAAAATAAATTATGATAGCTTAAGACGAGTTCTTTTCTTTAGAAGCTTTATATGGTTTCTAAAGGCAAAACGATTTCATAGTTTTTGCGCTCTGCATAATTCAAGTGATTAGAATCATCAACTCAATAGCGCTCTTAATTTAAGTGATTATGATCATCTATTCAAATTTAAATTTAATTGAAAATGTAAAATTTGAACATCATAATGATCTTCAGGCCAGTATTACTTTTTGATCTCACGTAAGAAAACATTGGTGAGAATTGAATTTAAATGGATCAATATATTTGCATTAGTTGCATTGGTTGCTCAATTGTTGTTGAAAAGGTACAGCTTATAAGCAAATGGTCATTGACGAAATCAAAGCAATTAAATTTAGTCGAATAAGTGTTACAAGAAAAAAAGTAGACCATTTGAGTAATAATTGTATGCCAGAAAAGCTTAGTCACTAAATTATGATAGCTTCAGAAATCTGTGGGTAAAATGGTCGATGGTCCCATCGCGCTTTTCAGTAATGGAACCTGATCTAAACTATATTTTATGATTGGATAAATTAGATATTTTACCACTGTAAAGTATTTAATATTAACCAATCATGATCCATCTAACTAACAACCCACTTATTTGTAAGTGCTGAAATTACTTGTAATTTCAGCACCAGAGATTTGAATTTAACTTAGAAATTAGTTGCCTCTCCAAGAGAACTTCAGCAGCCGCAACAAACCAGTATACCCTAGATCTATTGAGCCTAGCAGAGACTAGTTAAACACCCTGAGACTAGAAAGTATAAGAGTAAGATTAGGATCGGTATTAGACTAAGAAGTTGCACGAATCTATCCGGCCGAAAAAAAGATAGCGTGACGAGCAGACGGTGTACCCTATCCGAAATTACTCTATGAGTTAACCACATAAGAAATAACTCATCTGGTGCGACCATAAGTCTCGAATAAGACCTTAATAGCTTAGATTTAACCAAAAATAGATTAGAATTTAGAAAAAAAAAACATTTTAAAAATGTTATACGATGATAATTTAATCGAAATGTCTCTACGACTCAATAGATCAGAGCCGATATTCCGAACGATAACAGAACTACCCGGAATCGTAAGAAGACCTCGAACAAGAGACGACATACGCCAAAGTAGAAACTTACCATATAGTTATATGATAGTACGGCAAAAGCCAACACAAACTTTTATATTTAGAATCTTATTAGCAATGAATTTAGATTTTCATTTGCAAACATAAAATCTTGAAGTCAATCTTCATAATCATTTCAGTCGCTGAACAAAATTGTTAATATACAATAACGATTGATAAAAAGATCTCAGATCGTTTTCTTAAATTCTGCAGTTTTATGTAAAAACATGTTTGAAAAATATTTATTGAAAATCAAAACAAAAATTAGTAGCATGACAATAAATTGTTAGTAATCATAAAATCATCTGTTGTCCCAGCTTCATAACCTAAACATAACAGCAATCATAAGCTCACTAATATCATTAAAAAACTAAATCTTTTTCTTAAATAAATTTAAACCATTTTAAACTTAAATTCACTTAATTTTAAAATCTGATCATCAAGGCCTATCCTTGGATCAAAAAGAACAATTTTGTTCTCCCCTATCCACTTAGCAAGTGTCTAACGACCTCAAACGTCGATTCACTATCCAACCCTTCCAAAAAAAACCAAGACTTATAGAAATTTTTCAACAAAACTAACCATTCAAATTAGGATAAACAGTGAAGAACTTCGGTTATTCATCCTTCACTTGAACCCTCCTCTTACCAGACCCAGGATAAATCTTAGATTTAGTAAGTTTAAAATAGTATCTAACAAACTACTCGCGTTCTAATTATACCTGAACCTTGTGGATCGATTTACTATTCTCCAACCCTTGAACACAATCACTACCCCTAAGTAAGATTAAGTAAGTTAACACCTTAGCTTATACTAGCCACGAGAAAGTAAAAAATCATTCTTCGGAATCGATATACTTTTCTCTCCAACCCTGAACAAATAGACCCAGGTTAAGCTAACCAAAAAATTGTAAGGACTAACAGTTTAAAAAAGTAGACATCATCTAACAACTTTTTGCATCCCTCATCCTAAACCTTATGTCATTCAAAAATCTAGGAAATAAACAAACAATCGTTTTACACAACTGTGAAATAGATAACAAAAAATACGATCTTGTAATCACACCTCATACACAAACAGTTGGATATATTAGAACAAAACGACTAACAATAAAAAGAAAAATAATAAACAAACAAAGACAAATCACACGAAAAAGATTTTCAAAAAAAAGAAACGCATTTTCAGAATCAGAAGCCAGCAATTTAGATGAACTCTATATATTAAAAGAATCGATTGATAATAATTGTCCCATTCACGATCATTTATGTTTTTCCGACTCAGAAACAACTTCAAATTCATCAAAAAGAGGAAAAAGAAGAATAAAAAAGCAATATAAACACAAACCAGTACACTTGTATAATTGGAATCAACCAATTAGACACATTGATAATTATATATTAACAGTCATTAAACGAAAAAATGAGCCACAGCTATACTCAAAGTGACGATAGTCCAGATGACGAAGAGGTTTACCCCTTCCTCATGGACGCACCCGATAATAGAGGGCAGGATGACTTTTGCAAGAATTTACTCCTAAATTTGTTTGAACCCGGAATCAGCCCATGCAAAGCAGAATTCCCAGATGTAAAAATCAAAAGACAAATTATCGAACATTATCTGAAAGATAGATGTAATTTAACACAACAATACGGAATCTACACCATAGAATTCAGCACACCAAATCCGAATCACCGCAAATATGTAATTCAAACAGACGATCTTGAATTAGAATTTCCAAATGTATTCTTAGAATATATTAAAAGCATACAATATCATAACTCACAAAGAGCAAACTCCATATTTACTAACGAAGTTTTTGCAATAATATATAGCTATATTTCAATATTAGAAAAAACAGAATTTCAAAGTATCTCACCAACTGAGACATCCAAACATACAAAAGTACGACAGGAAATCACATTATTTTCAATTTTTCTACATATAATCAAAGAAAATTTCAATAAAGACGAGGTTTCACAACACACAAAACATGACTTACAAAAAATTTTGGCATGGTTTATAATAGATTATTTCACACATAATATAGACTTAATTTCACAAGCCAGAAAAAATTTCAGACCTCAAAATCCAAACGATGATACTGCCATCACAGAACAGTCAGACTACGTTTGGGACCCTGAATGGTCTCATCATGCATTTATAAATATCCCACAATCAATCTCAAGTCAAGCAATAAGTACAATATCTTATCAAAGAGATTATGTGAGAGTAGTGCCACTGACCATTGATGCAACACCATTAAACTACAATACATTTTTACCTGATACGCGAAATAACAGTTTAAATTCGACCGTCATACACAATGAAAACCTTAATGGAACTAGGAATCTTACACAACAAGATATCCAAACACCATCACACTTCATAATTGAAGAAATCGTCCAAACAACAACAACTACACAACAAAGTATTTCACCGATACGTCCAAATTTAACAACACCAAAAAATACAAACACTTCACTGGCACAAGTAACCTTACAATCAACCGTTAAACCTTCGGTTGCTCCAAAATATTCACATATGGATTATCATACATATAGACCTATGACAGTACCGTCAAAAACACGAAGAACGTTCACAAGAAACACTTTTGCAGAACACAATTATAATTACGCACATTCGTCAAAAACCAACTACCCCCCACGAAAAACTAATAATAATCATGTATGTTCTCACTATTGGGATAACCCAATGACAACAACCAACTCAGTAAATTTTCGAACTAATTCACATCCTCCACAGGATCGTAGTGAAAATTACCCATTCTTTCAACAAAATAAAAATAAAAAGCAAGCACCTCATCATACGGATTACTTATCATCTGATGATGATTATTTACAACCAGATATTTTTGCACCGTATACCCAAGAATATCGCGGACAAGGAGCGCAAAAACCTTATACATATAATAGAATTTTTTCTCCAAATCCAACAGATACACGAAATCAACAACCAATACAAATGCAAAATCCAACTAATACACAATCTTTTCAACCAATTCAACCGCAAAACCCAATGATCACACACTCGTATCAACCAACTCAAATAAAAAAAGAAATACCACTCCCATATTACCTTCAACAACACGAAATAACAAAAAATCAACTTTCAAATTTTTCACAAATGCCAAATGCCGCAGAATCACTACAAATGAAAATGAATCCATACCTTCTGGGTGGATCATCAATAACATCAATTAAACCACTAATGGTATTCACAGGAACAGACCCTGAATATTCTGTAGAAGATTTTTTAAATGCAATAACAGCAAATTTAATTTTAAATATAGGACCTGAACCAATTAATACACCACTACATCAAAATTGGATACATCGACGCACACAGCGTTGATACAAACAACCTTAGATGGCGCAGCCCAAAAATGGTTTTCAGTATTACCTATAGAAATAAAATTAGATTGGAAACGATTTACACAAGAATTTTCAAAAATGTTTGACTCCGAAAGAAATAAACAACACCAAAGAGTTTTATGTAATGAAATTCGCAGATTACCAAATGAAACCATCAAACAATTAGCAGTACGTATCGAAAAACTAGTTCGAAAAGCATATTCATTAAATACACATGACTATAAAAACACAAAAATGACAGAAATTTTATTGATGACCTTAACACCTCAATTAAGGAAAATAACAATAAAAAAGAGAGCATCTCATCCTTCCTCAATTCGAGAACCCGATTTAGATTTCCGAAAACTAGTAGACAAACTAGAGCAAGCGGAAATCACAATGAAACTTGAAGAAACAGAAAATCTAAAACTACAATATGTTAATCGAATCGAAACAAACACTACACATATCAATAACATACAGGAATCAGATACAGACCTAGTTGAAAAAATCACTGAAATACTAAATTTTTATGAAAAACACCCAAGTTTTAAAGACAAACCATCTTTCAAAAAATGGTGTAATTATTGCCGACGATACGGACATAGTATTTCTGA